GGTTCTTACATGCACCTGCAGGTTCTTACATGCACCTGCAGGTTCTTACATGCACCTGCAGGTTCTTACATGCACCTGCAGGTTCTTACATGCACCTGCAGGTCTGTCTCTTATACACATCTAGATGTGTATAAGAGACCTGTGTCCAATGATTGGCCGCCATCTGAGTGGGTGGTCCATCATCATCGGCCGCCATTTTGTTTCATTTACGGCGGCCATCAGTCACATCACACATTACCATTATCATTGTAGTCTACATATTAGGATATAATATAATTACAATGTATTCTATTTATAATTTTAATGTAGTCTATATATCAGAATATCCCCAGAGATACAGGAATATTGGCCCTGTCTCTTATACACATCTAGATGTGTATAAGAGACAGGTCTATCTTTGTTCATCCTGTCTTTGCTCGGCCTGTCTTTGTTCATCCTGTCTTTGCTCGGCCTGTCATTGCTAGGCCTGTCTTTGCTCGGCCTGTCTTTGCTTGGCCTGTCTTTGCTCATTCTTTCTTTACTCGGCCTGTCTTTGCTCGGCCTGTCTTTGCTTGGCCTGTCTTTGTTCATCCTGTCTTTGCTCGGCCTGTCATTGCTCGGCCTGTCTTTGCTCGGCCTGTCTTTGTTCATCCTGTCTTTGCTCGGCCTGTCTTTGCTCGGCCTGTCTTTGTTCATCCTGTCTTTGCTCGGCCTGTCATTGCTCGGCCTGTCTTTGCTCGGTCTATCTTTGTTCATCCTGTCTTTGCTCTTTGCTCGGCCTGTCTTTGTTCATCCTGTCTTTGCTCGGCCTGCCATTGCTAGGCCTGTCTTTGTTCGGCCTGTCTTTGCTCGGCCTGTCTTTGCTCCCCTTATCTTTATTTAGCTTGCGCTGTGCCGCTTTAATCATTTCGTCGCTCCTCCGGCAGCCGCCGAAGCCAGAGTACAGAGCTCCTGCTTGATTACTTGCACGGGGGGAAATGGAGGCAGTGCCGTGCCGCTGAGGGGAAAGTGGAGTCAGACTCTGGTGGCTTGCACAGGGGGTAATGGAGGCAGACTCTGGTGGCTTGCACAGGGGGTAATGGAGGCAGTGCCTTGCTGCCGGTGGGAAGTGGAGGCAGAATCTGGTGGCTTACACAGGGGGAAATGGAGGCAGACTCTGGTGGCTTACACAGGGGGAAGTGGAGGTAGACTCTGGTGGCTTACACAGGGGGAAGTGGAGGCAGACTCTGGTGGCTTACACAGGGGGAAATGGAGGCAAACTCTGGTGGCTTACACAGGGGGAAGTGGAGTCAGACTCCGCGGGCTTACACAGGGGGAAATGGAGTCAGACTCCGCGGGCTTACAC